CCTCTTACTACAAGTCTTACGACGATTACGATAGCTATGATAGCTATGGTAGCTATGGCTATTATAAACGTGATGCCAATCAAGAAAAACGTGATCAGCATAAGCGCGACGCCAATCAAGAAAAGCGTGATGCGAACATTGAAAAAAGAGATGATGCATAATTTGCTTCTTTATTGTGAGCTGGAATGTGACTATTACATACCCATTATAAACGTGTAAATTTGTTATACTCACACAATGTAGATATTTCGTCCATTTTTTATTTAAAACAATTCTATTTGTATATATTCTTTTTTATTTATTGATTTTTAAAATAGATTTTTTTGTGAGTATAGTAAAATGTCATTGTAATAAATTATTATACTTAAAATTATAGTAAATATATATTTCCTTGGCAATTAACTTAAGTCTGCTAAGAATGTTGAATGTGTGTTTTTGAAGTATTCCGGGTATCTAATAATATTCATAATGATAAAGTTTTCATAATGAAATACGAAATCACTTTGGTACTCATCCACGTGTTTGCGCATCATGGAAGTTTATAACACTTCTGACCATAATTTCTTGTCCATAAAATGATATGAAAATGTCAGTTTTTTGTATCTTGATCATTGAAGTTTCCATTATTTAATCGAAAATTCACGGAATTATAGATATTTAAAATAATACTGGCTGTTGTAACCAGTATCATATAATTAGATATAAATTAATACAATTTTAATACAAATTATATTTAAATTATTGGTTAATTATATGATTACATATGTAGATGCATTCTTGCGTCGGGGCTAGTCACTGCACAAAAAATGCGCGGCAATTTGGCCTGCATTACAGCTGTTTACATTATTTTTTTGAACATCTGGTAAAATGATTATTTGTCAATTCGATAAGTTTTTGATTTGAGTGTAATTAGCAATATAACGATAATTATATATATCGATATTGTATTTTGAAAGTTTTTATTTAAACGTATGTTTAATATGCTTGGTGTATTGTTCTTGCCAACCAACAGATATTGACGAAAAATATAAAATATAAGACAAGCTTTCATAATAAATACATTACACAAGCAGGCACTAACGCTAATGAAAAAAAAATTCAATATGGAAAAATATACAAGTTACCCTCGTTAATATTCAACCTGTTTGAATCGGGTGATTTGGTTGATATATGCGAGGGTTGTTATTTATACGAAAAATTAATTAAAATTACATTTTGTTATATGGCATACTATACATGTGGCCGAAATGTTTCGACCATTTCGGCCACTTGGCAAATGTTCAAAGCAAAGTTATTAATAATTTGTAAATATGATAGAAATTAGACTTCATATATATTAAA